AGGAAGCCATATTGAGAGGAGAAGGTGCAATTGTTGCCGAGGAAGAGGGGGGGTTGTGCTGCGCCGCTGCTGCTGCCGAGGAGAGGAGGACGGCGGGTGGTGTGCTGCGCTGGGAGAAAGCACGCCGAGAGAGAGAGAGAGAGCAAGGGTAGGGTTAGGGTTTTTGGGTTGAGAAATTATGGCTCCGATACCATGAAGAATTATGAATTTCCTTAAACAATAATGTGGGAGTACATGTGTTTATATACACAAACTATTCCTAATCCTAATCATGGTAGGATTCTACAATAGGAAACAATCTCTATACAATAAATACAGAATATATAATTAACATAAATATAGAATATATTTAACAATCTGCCATCTTCCATAACTTTGTTCGTCAGTTGCATGAGTGGTAAGTTTGGAGTGGTTTGCTAATTGAATTGTGTTGTTTTGTGAGTGGTTTAGAATTTGAATTTGGCTATCCTGTGGGTTGCAAAGTGCACAGTAATTTGAATTTGACCAATTGTAGAGTATTCATTTCTGTTACTGTCGTCCCTGAAAGTTCGTGGGGGCGCAGCGGAAATCACCAATTAAGAACTATGCAAACAAAACAATCAACTATGTTGTAGAGAATATGCTGCAGCACTGTCACAGTAACAGATGACGGACCAGGGTGCTATAACACTTCTCTGTCACAAGCACACACAGACAGAAGCAAATGATGCAGAGGGTGTTACAGCGCCTACTGGACAGAATGATGTAACTATAAAAATGCGTAAAAAATGACACCAGATATGTTTACGCAGTTCGGAGAAACTCTCCTAATCTGTGGGGCCCACGTCCGTGTAATAGCTCTCCACTAAATCACTAGATGCAAGTTACACCGATACATAACAACATGATGAGACACTCTTCTCCGAATTTTTATGACAAAACTTCTAATCTAGGATTTCTAACCCAAACTCTGTTCAGATCTGCTTCGGCTATCACATCTCAACCGAGATCACGAGGACAAACGTGTTGACAACCCACTCGTTCAGCTCTATTTCATCTTCTGGATGTCACGATCAGTTTGGCATTGAAAATCTACTCCTTCATGTAGATTGCAACCTTCTTCACGCATGGGAAGCTCTGGGATGCGACGGGAATGCTCTACATCAGCGTATATTCTTTGTTTTCCCTCTCAATCGCTCCACGTAATTCCTAGGGACCTGCTGCGTTTTTATAGGCTCCTCTTAACACAATCCTAGTAGGAATAGGATAGTAGAAGTTGGCTTGAACTCTACTTCCTTAATCTTGATCCACAAGTAGCCTAAAGAGTTGGGATTCCTTAGCATGTACAGCTGGAGTTATTATCATGTAATCACAGTCCCAATAGGTCTCTAATTAAGATTGCAGCTTAAAGTCCCGTGTTCAGACCTCTGATCCCGAACAAGGTGTTGCAACATCGTGCTGTAGCATCTTCTGTGTCAACCTCGAAAACTGCAGCAACTCTAGAAGTCTAAATAAATTAAACCTCTCCTAACAAATAGAGGTTTCTACCTAGTACAACACCTAACAAATATGGGATTCTATTTTGCCAAAATATTAGCCAACACCATGGAACCAACAAGCTTCACCTAGATTTGGTTTATTCTTTAATCATAGTAATCATAATTTTGGATCTTTTATCATTTTAGTTACTTATAATTTTGGATCATTTTAGTTTGTTAAATTTCACTATTATTATCATCTTCAAACAACATGCAATTAAAGATGAATGATGTATGTTTCATAGATTTGAGATTAGTGGGACAACTTGCATACTTGTTCTACATTTAAGCACTTTTTAAGTGTGGAGGGCTTTGGAAGCTGCAGTGGCCAATAACTGATTTTAACAACGGTGGTTGTTGAAGCACCTGGCCGATCAACACCATGTAGAACTGTTAGACTTCTTTTTTCAATGTGACATTAAGGTAAAACTATGACATAATATTCTTTCTATTTCATAGTCCACTCAATTTTATGGTCATAATTATATTTACTAGTTGAGATTGAATGTTGACCAGTTTTTGTATCAATTGTGCTAATGATTTAATTTTTCTTTCATTGATAAATTCTTGATCCATGATTTAATTTTTAAAAACAAAAAATCTTATGCTATAATCAATCAGTACAATCCTTTGAACCGTTGGTTTTACCCAATAGTCCTTTTTTCAATTTCTTGATTTTTTTATTTTGAAATTTTAACATGAGTACATGTTTTGTGGGTATCATAAAGTTTTCCTGATAATGAAGTGTCTGGCTCTTCAATTCACATTTACATCTTTCATTAAAATATTAAGATAGGAAGAAAGAGGGTACATCAAACATAGGGATAGCAACGGATCGGGTTCAGCTGGGTTTGAGTATATTGAAACCTGATCTAACTTAGGTCGGTTTCGGGTTTGATTTTTGTGGGTCGGTTTCAGATATTTATTTTTTGGTTCAGATTCGGTTTAAGATTTGGACGGGTCGGTTACGGTCATTTCAGGCTTGAATACTAATTAAAGTATTCATGAAAAATTTAAGATTGAAATACATTAGAAATTTAAAATTTTAGAGATGACATAAAATTTAAGATATTAACAAAAATAATTATGACCGAATGACCCTTAAATATGTAAAATAATCTTGTTTGTTCCGCACACGCGAGAAAAGGGAGCAATTGCGGATTACTGGTCTAGGAAGGCGAAATAGGAGCGGACGAAGGCGTTTTGGGCCCACATATTTTCGGGTCAGGAATGGCTATCGGTGAAACCAAGGAGATTGAACCGCAGTCGTCTAATCCCTTCGGGGGCGATGTTAGACCAGAAATCTGCAACCCCTCCCTCTTCCCACGCGTGCGGAACAAATAATAGTAAGTTTCAACTAATAATATATGGAGTAGAAAGAAAATAACACATGTGTGACACACAAGATTAAACCACAATAAAAAATGAAACACAAAAAATGCAATAAGTTTTAAAACATTAAAAATATGTGCATCAAAAAAACATGGAATATATGAATTTAGAGTTTTTAAAAACTTATTAAAAGTCGGGTACATGTCGGGTCGGGTGGGTCTAATATATTAACCCAAGCCCAACCCGACAAAAGTCGGGTTCAGTTTAAATCTTTTTGGGTCGGTTTTGGATATTTATTTTTTCGGTTCAGATTTGGATATTATAAGTTTCGAAAAATTGATTGAGGTATGTTCTGTTGATTTCTTTAGGAACCATATATGCTTCGTGGACTTTAATTAGTTGTAATGTTTGTGATGATGAATAATATAGAGTAAAATACAAGCATGTTATTAGTGTTGGTAATTCATTATCATTGTTTTTAAAGATCATGTACGTTTTCCTCTTTGTGGTATGTTAATATGTACGTACATTATCACTTCTCTTTTACATTTTTATGTACAATCTAGTTATATTTGTCTTACAAATTCATCTTGTCAGGCCTTTATACACACTACAATTTTCGTAGCTAAATTGTAATAATTCAAATTTGCATACACACAAAAGAAAAATGTAGGCGTGAACTTTGTAACAAACCGAAATAGCAGAATAAACTCTTCATTTCTACTACTAGAACCTCGCGTATAAGATGCAAAAAAGTAGTGAGCGATTTTTCCGCCTCTAATTAGCTGCAAAATAGTGAGAGACTATTCTCCCTCTTTCAAATTTTCATTAGTGGGTAACATTTTCGCCACGAATTTCGTAGCTAAATGAAATAAATTTCAATTGTATAACCGAGAGATTAAAGTTAAATAAAAAACAGTGTTAGAAATAAAAAATTGAATTTATTATAAAAAAATAATCAATGTTTACTCATAAACAATTATACATTGCTATGTCCATGGTTAAAACTCGATCAAGGTTGAAGATTTTAATCTCAAAATAATGTATCCTTTTACTTTGTGCATTGCTGATTAAATTTAGAATTTAATAAAAAATATATTTACATCCATGGACATATAGTTTTTCAATTGGAGGATATTATATATATCAGTTATGCTAAAAAGTATATTTTTTAGATATTATTCATTTTTAATTTTGAAAAGAAATTTTAAAGATCTATCATAGTTTTCAGAACCGGACCGGTGACTGAACCGGTCCCGGCACTAGTTCACTGGTCGAACCAGTGGTTTAAATATTTTTTAAATTTATATATATATATATATATATATATATATATATATATATATATATATATATATATATATACATACATACATATATATATATATATAGACACTCTCTCTCTTTCTCTCTCACTTATTTATAAATACTTAGAGTAAATAATTTCCAATATTTGACCAAATCTATATTAATTTACTTCAGTTATGTCACTAAGTTTAACAATAAAATTTACATATTTAAAAAACAATATTAAATATTTTATAAACAAAGAATTGATTTTATTTTTTTTCAAATAAATTATCTAATATTAAAAACACCGAAATGAAACCTTTACATAATACTCCGGGGTATTTGTGATAGTATCAATTATATCAATAATTTTGAGTTTGAATCATAGCTATAATATTATATTTTTTAAAATTTTTAAAATGCAGAGAAATCTTTAAACATTTTTTAATAATGTAATATTATAAATTATTAAAATGAACTAATAACACAAAGACACCCTAGCATAGATGGTTAGGGATTTAATTTCAGTACTGAGAAGTCTTGGGTTCGAACCCGTGCAGGGTGTGTTTTTTGGGCGAAAAAATTGCAAAAAAAACTGGCCTTTACCCAGTTCATAGTGGTTCGAAGCAAGTTACGGTCCAAGGTGCCAGACCGGACCGATTGGACCGCCAGTTCACAGTCCAAACCGGCCGGTCCGGTCCGTTTTTTAAAACTATGGTTCCTATGCATTGCATAAGTAAAATACTAAGCTAGTAATAAAAGCACAAAATCAAAAATGGGAGTAATAAAAATCAAATCGCAGCCATGTAACTAAGCTAGTGATGCCAACAAATCCTATATTGAAGCAATATTTAAAAGCACAAAATCAAAAATGGGACTTCTCATGCTAGCAGTACTACCCTTGAAGTATGTATGGCAATACATCCATTATAACAAACCCTTTTTTAAGTCAATGTACGAATTCAGTACTTGACTGCGGAAAGAATCTCAAGTTGAGAACCAAGTTTCTCCTCTGCAGCCTTTTCTGCTTTGAGCCTCAATTTTATCAACTGCTTCTTCCTCTCATATGAAGCTTGTGCTCTCTCCTTCCTCTTATTCTCTAGAGCCTATTAATCATGCAAGTTGCAGTCGTAAATGCTAGTGCAACATGTAAATATCCATGAAAATGTACACTAATTTATGAGTTCGTATATTATAGGGCATCTATTTTGACATTATGGTACTGTGTTCGGTTTGAAAGTGGTTCATACCCTCCCTAATCCCTTCCAAAAACCCCAGCCTATCCCATACCAACCCAATTGGTGGTGCAATGTGGGGGGTGGGGGGGTTGTGGGGGAAGGGGCTGGCAGGGGGTGAGTTGGTGTGGGGGGGGGGGGGGGGTTATGAGGGGTTGGGGCGTAACAAGGACTTTCAGGCTGAACAAGACACCTTAGAGCTCAATGTCATAATATGTCAGTTCCAATGTCAAAAAACTGTAGGGTTATTATGCATCCACACGTACAGTGTTTACTATACACATTGAATATGCACACTTCCAAGTTACATAATGTTCATCTTCCACATTTATTTTAGCACATTTCACAATGCTCATACTGTTGCTGAAATAACTTTTCTTTTGGTTTCTGAACACTTCCAATCCGTGAAAGATAAAATAAAATCTTGAAAATAAAAAATATGGAAAAGCACACATTTTTTTTGCACATACTTAAAGCTGCACATTAAAAAGTTAGTGTATGCACATTTGCATTACATAATGCTTACTAGATGTGCATCAAGTAGGTATGGCCAAATGTTAAATATAATTTGCCATAGCCGAAGAAAGCAGGTATGCATATTCTGCTATTCACTGCATCCTAATTTAGGGAAATTGAGAAAAGAATCCAAAAGTGGGATCCTATTGGGTTGTTGTTGAGAAAAAAATCCAAGGTTTAGAAAAGAGCCCAAGGTTGAGAACAATTAACAACATTAATTTCATAGCACCGCAAAAACATGGTTCAGATCGAGGCAAGGACAAACCCCAAGAAGTTAGAATCATAGAATACAAAGGTTTCTGGGAAGAACAAAATAAGAAGTTAATTTCAAAATTGATGGCAATTGGTTTAGAGTTTAGACATTGTTATCATCGACAATTACTTGGACCACATTTGGTTTCTAACTTTTTTAAAATATCAAATGTCTAAAATATACTCATTTCACAAAAATGTGAACTTAATATGAGTGTTCTTTTAAAAGTTAGGATTAAGCTTGGCAGCTTTGGAAGAATAGAGGGACCATACATGAATGGATAGTCAATGACCATTGACCAAAAGAGACAATGACTCCAACTAATGAATTTCAAACACATAAAAAACAAATAGAAATAACTCAAGAAATGAAATTCAAACACACAGAACAATATCTGCAGATTAATAGGCTTCGTACAGATTTTGTATAAGCCCAAAAGAGAGTATCAATTGCAAAAATATTCTTTTGAAAAGCATTGTATCATACAAAATGCATCAAGAATTACCTTGATGGTATCATAGTGGCTCCATCCAACCTCAGAGGAGAGTTTTCCCAATAAGCAGTACTTATGCCCAGGTTGGAGCCTCAAAACCCTATGCACAAGTCGAAAAAAAATTGAATAACCAACCAAACCAATTAAGAGAATTAAAAAAGACAATTTTGCACAAAAATAATAATAATAAAGCTCACTTGAGAGCATCAGGAATAACCATCCTCTTCATCTTATCATAGGGTGGAGGCACCCCTTCAAACACTTTCAATCGACCAAGAGAAGCAGCACCACGCTTAGTTTTATGTGGAATCATCCTATATATTCAAAATACTTAACTGATCATCAAATATAATCAATGATTTAAAAACAAGTAAAATTTGCTCTAAATAGGACTAAGACTTAACTTTTTATTCCCTAAATAGGACTTAATAATGACTTAGTGGGAGGAATAATGCCCAGTAATGATGGACATTTACTTGAATAATGACTAATTAATAATGACCAAAGGTCCTACATTGGGAAATAAAAACATATGGTCCTCTATTGAGAAAGTCGTTATGTTTTAGTCCTATTTAGGTAAATTACTATTTAAAAATGGATCAAAGAAAGTGAGAATATCAATAAGTATCACTAAAGTTTAGTTAATCTCGTTATTACTATTTTTCTAACCAAAATGCAAAATGCTGTTTCGTATCGCCCAAACAAAATAATCTGAGAACGATATAGGTATCGAAATATACACAAGTTTTTCATTGAATTCAAATAACCTACATTTCCATTAATCACCACTACTTTGTAGATCGTCACAATGCATTTCTATACGCGTAAGTAAGAGCGCAGAGCAGAAACAAACCCTCGGATGGTACGCCAGAGGATCTTAGAAGGAGCACGGTGGTGGATTGGGCCGTGAGAAGGCTTAGTGTTCATGCGCTTGCGCAGAAAGCGGTGGTACTTCATTTTCTGACGGACAAGGCCGCCGGAGAGACAGATCTCCTCGCATCTCGTCACCACAACTCTCACGCCGTTCAACAGCTCTTTGGCCAGGATCGACGCCAGCCGCCCCAGCATGTGGTGCCTCGCGTCCACCACCACCCGCCGGGTGCATATTCCCGAACCGGACACCATTGTTGACGTCTTCTCTACTGTTTTCTATCCCCGCCGGCGATCAGCCAAGGGGCTCGGAAGTTTGAGAGGTATACATACTTAAGTAGGGTTTTTGGATCCGGTCTTTGGGCCATTTGGGGAGTTTAATGAGAATACCTATAGGATTTACTTGGCCCAAATTCTTGAGTACTTGTTAGACATTTGAAGTGACCATAATCTACGTCCAACCTCACAAGTCACACCTACTCGCTCGCTTCTCAAAAAGAATTTTTAGTTTGATCAAGTGGAAAACTAAGAAAGTACTAAATTGTAGTTAAATTCTAATTTTGCTCTTAGTTGATGTGTAAACATAAGATGTGATGCATAGGTTATTAGAAAAAAAGTATGATGTGATAGACTGAGTTTGAAAGTAAAGGTCAAAGTAATTTTTTAATAGAAAGTGGAAGTGTTTTGTTGGGAGTGGAAAAAATAAATAATGAGAAAATAGAAAGAAAATTATTTGAGTGAGATGAAAGTGAATTGAGAGAGATGAGATTGGTGCTGGACACAGTTCTAGGTAAGAATCGCCACCGGCATCAGCACCGGCGGTTCTTGAATCGGACTGGAGACAGACACGAGCTGGAGGTTATGGGAACTAGGGGTGTTCAAAAATATCCGATCCGAAAAATCCGTCCATGATCTGGGCATATCCGATCCGAAAAATGGATATCCGATCCGATATTTTGGCTTTCGGATATTTCGGATCGGATATCCAAAAAAATCGGATCGGATATGGATTCAATTTCTGGAATTTTTTGGATAATCGGATATCCGATTTTTTTTGCTTATATGTTTAATGGAATTTTATGAATATATATTATGGGTATATGTTTAATGCAATTTTATGTTGATTTTGGAACTCAAGCATTTTGAACTTTTTGCATTTGCATTTTAAAACTTTTTGTTTTAATAGTAATTTTTTTTGTTTGTTTAGGCAAAAATACCAAAGTTACTCCCAAATTTAATTTGTTATCAATTTTTTACTAGGCCGTTATCTTGTGCTGAAATTTTTCTTTTAGTAAATCTATATTGAATTTGATATTGTGGGTTGATTTTGCTATTTTACCCTTTTTTTGTGAATTTTGTCCAAAAAGTCAATTTTTCGGATAATCCAATGATCCGATCCAAAAATTCGAATATCCAAATTTCGGATATCTGAATATTTTCGGATCGGATATGGAATGAGTTTTACATTATCCAAAATTTTCGGATATCCGAATTTTCGGATCGATCCGATTGAACAATGCTATCCATGGTAGTCTGCATCCAAACACAAATTTTCTAAATAAATCTTACTCTGTATAAAAATACTTATACAAATTGTAGGAGTGTTCATGGATTGTCTAATTAATATACTCTCTTCGTCCCGGAAAACATGGGGATTTTGATTTTGAGGAGTGACTTAAGAGGAGTGTATTTTGGTATTGAATTTCTAAAAATGTCCTTTGATGTGATGGGTAAAAGTATGATTTGATGGATAGATTATTAGTAAAAAGGAATGATGTGATAGGTAGGGTATGAAAAAGTAAAGGGTAAAAGTGACTTTTTAATAAAAATGAGAAGTGTTTTTAGGGACGGAGGGAGTATTAAAGATCTGAAATATGAGTATTTTTTTAGCCATCTCGTTGGCTATTCCGACTCGGACTTTGCCGGTTGCAAATTGGACCGTAAAAGTACAAGTGGGACTTGCCACTTACTTGGTAGCTCTTTAGTTTCTTGGTTTAGCAAGAAACAAGTCAGTGTTGCGTTATCCACAACCGAAGCAGAATATGTAGCCGCCGGTAGTTGTTGTGCTCAAATCCTTTGGATGAAGCTTGTTGAGCACCTGATACCGGAATTATAGTTAGTGCAGGGAGAAGCAACACTATTATGATCGCGGTATTCGAACTGCTTCTTGGGGCAAGAAGTGAGTTCCTGCTTTGTGTAACTGTAATCCGTAGTAAAGTAATCTCTAGTACAAGAGTTTCCACTACTCGAAATTGAGTTTGTTGAAACACACAACCAATTAGCCGATATTTTCACAAAACCTTTAGAGAAAGAGTCGTTCTTCCGCATTCGAAGTGAACTCGGAATCCTTGACTCCACGATGATCTAAGTTGTGCATCTAAACTTATTAAACGTTTACTAACTTGAGCGTCGGAGAATTTTTTCTTTTTCTTGCACGTACCCCGTTCATGAAATCAGGGGGAACCATGCCAACAGCGCTGTCCAGGAGACCCAACAGCGCTGTTGATAGAAACACCATCAACCAGAAAGTTTGCCAACAGCGCTGTACTACAGGCCAACATCGCTGTTACAGGGAGTCCCTTCATCCTCACTCTCCAGAAACGTTTCAAACAGCGATGTCCCACTTTCAACATCGATGTCCATTTTTACAAATTTTTCTCTCCAATCGTAAAACAGCAATGTAGAGAAACCCAACAGCGCTGTTCTAATGGGTTCAAACCCTTATACATTCCAGCAACTTTTGGAACATCGCTGTAGGTTACCCAACATCGCTGTCCATTTGACACTTGTTTTTAAAACTTGACGCACAACAGCGCTGTCCGGAGGCTCAACAGCGCTGTCTTAACAGCGATGTAGCCTTTGGAACATCGTTGTTCTGGATAAATTTTTCAAAAAAATATCCGTTGGCACCTGCATTAATTGCTCCAACAGCCATATTTTTGAAATTATGGACGTTGGGAACCTCTTTTTCTATAAATTGGGACTCCCTCTCTTCACTTTTACACACACAAACACAAACTCCTTCAATATCTTTACATATTTCATCTTCTCTACTCTAACCTTTTGAGATTTCTTCACCATGGGCAAAGACAAGAGCATGGCTGCCACCTCCGGGAGATCAAAGTCCAAATCCCGGGCGCCTACGACATCCTCCGAGGAACGCCTCTACTACGGCGATGGGTCGTACCTCTGGTTCGATTCCGAGGAGGAGCGCACCCGCTTTCTCACTTTCTTCTCTAAACGGGTTGTGGCTCCCCCACGGATCGTCTCGGAGCGTTTCCTGGAGCTGCAGGGCTACGACGACCTCGACGCGCAGCTTCATCAAGCCGGCCTTTGGCCATTCGTCTCCCGGGCTCGGAAGGAGATCAACCCGGTGCTGATTCGGGTCTTCTACTCCAACCTCTGGCGTGAGGGCGACGTGCTCTACTCTCTTGACAAGAGCACGCCGATAGAACTTTCCGTTGAGCAGCTTGGGCGCATCGCCGGCCTCCCCTACCAAGGCGACGACGTCTCCCAATATGGAGGAGAGGACTGGGTGCTCAACAATGAGGGCCTTATCCTCACTGAGCTTGGCATCACCGAGCTTATCCGTCATGCCTCGGGCCACTCCACCATCCACTCCGCAAACCCCGAGAGCCGGCTTCTTCTCTACATCGTGTCTCGAATCATCAAGCCCCGGAAGCATGGGCACACGATCATGTCCGGTGAGGACCTCAAGCTCCTCCATGCGATCATGCACTCGGCGCCAATCAATTGGGCGAAGTTTGTCATGATCAACATGAAAATTGCCGCATCCACCAACCACGATCACCTCCTCTCGTACCCGTTCGTGGTGATGGACATCCTTGAACGGTTCAAGGTGACCACCACAGTTGGCCCACTCACGAAGGCCACGTCGGACTTGCCACTGCCGCGATCAGCACCCAGACCTTCAAGAAGCGGTCGGACAACGTCGGACTTGCCACAGCCGCGCCACGGCTTCGTTCGGCTGCTGGCCCAGGCGAACCCATGGATGACGCCATGAACGCGTACTTCCAACGCGTTAACTACGTCCCCCCACCATACCATGGCACGTTCTTTGGGCAAGTGTACGGTGACGAGGACGAAGATGATGCCTCCTACGCCCCGTTAAGCTCTCCAGACGAAGATGAGTTCGACGATGCCATCGATGGGGATGATATGGACGACGACGACGACGATGAAACCGGAGGCGAAGAGGAGGAAGACGAAGACTAGGCCGCCCCTAGCATTTTCTATCTCTTTTTATTGTCATTTTTTTACTCGCATCCGTTGTACTCCATTTTAATAAATAAAAGGTATATTTAATCTTTTTGTTAATGTCAAAAGGGGGAAGAAAAGGGCTATGCATATACTAAGGGGGAACGTCTCTAAAAACGGGATCGTTTGATTTTAATATGACAATTTTTTAGGCACAAATTAAGGTGAATTTTTTTTCATACTTTTCAAAGTCAAATATCCCTTAGTATGCATATCCCCGTCTTGTTTGCCATTATCAAAAAGGGGGAAATTGTTGGAACACGGGTTTACGCCTATGTCGTACTAAACCGTGTTCGTTTTATGACAAGTTTTGATAATGCCAAACCGCCGTGACACAACAAGGCTAAAGTGAGAAAAAACCAAGGCGAAGAAACATGGCATGATGACATGAGAACCAAGAACCAAGAATCAGGAACAAAGAATTAGAATTGCATTGAGTCGGTCCTAATGTGATCAAGACCGGCACAAACTTCCAAATCTTGCCTCTCTAGGCTCAATTCACCAAAACCCTTTTTGCAAATTCAAAAATGTTTTTCATAAGTTTTAAACATGGCTAAAAACACTTGGAGTTCGCGCAAACAAAAAACCAAGTCATCCGGCGTTCGGCTTTCAGAAACCGGCGTTCGGCTTTCGGTTTTCGGCATTGGTTTTTGGCATCCAAACAAACCAAGTGTTTTTCACCTTTTTATGATTGGTTTTTACTTCTGGGCATATTTAAATAGTTCTCCAACAAAAACACTTCGAAAACCACCTTTAGTTTTTGGTCGTTCAGTGAAAACCATGCGAAACGGCATAAACTTGGCTAGCCGTGGTTTTCAACTAAATGACGTGGTCTTCAAAATGTTCTACTTGATTTCTTAGCAAAATGCATTAAACAAACATTTTCAATACTCAGTTTTAATTTTGGAGAACTTACTTTTTTGACATCGGCTAACGGCTGACTAAACCAACCATGGGTCTGGCTAAACCAGCCCAACAGCGATGTTGGTTCTACCAACAGCGCTGTCTGGCTTGAGTAGCTGAAAACCATGGTTTGGAGTTAAGTCTTCCAACAGCGATGTTGCATATTAGACATTGCTGTTGAGCCAAGGTTAGGTTTCCAGAAACATTTGGAACAGCGATGTAGCCTTCCCTACAGCGCTGTCTAACCTAAGCCAAAAATATAGTGCATTGGCAGAAAGATTTTGGACAGCGATGTTGACCCAGCAATAGCGCTGTCAGGCCAAAAACTCCACCTTCAAAGTCAGACCTAAACAGCGATGTTCAAGTATTGAACATCGATGAACATCGATGTAGGGACCTGACCGTTGGAAGGAATTTAAGGCTAAAAACTTTCCTTATTTGGAAGTCAACAGCCAAAACAGTGATGTAGGAGTATTGGGCATCGCTGCTGGCATGACCGTTGCTTCCTAATTTTCAAAACGCTAGCCTAGAACAGCGATGTCCAAGCCTAGGACAGCGCTTTCTGGGTGAATTTCAGCAGATCCAAATTTAATCAAATCCCATAAATTGTGCCAATCACCCCTTTAAATGTTTTGATCCGTTGGAGCCTATTTTTCGACTATAAAATGGGGTGTTTGGGTCTATTTTACACATCACATTACTTCACAATCTCTACTCCTTCATTGCAAATCATTCATCCTTTATTCATAGCTTTCTGAGAAGCCATTTTTGTGAAGCTTGTGTTGTGTTCTTGAGCATTCTTAGTTACTCAATTATCTACTCTAAAAGAGAGTATTGTTCTTGAGTGTTTTTAGTGTTCTTAGACACTTGACAAGAGAAAGTATTTCTCTTGTTGTTCGAAGAAAGGATTGTTTCCTTCGAAGGTTCGTTGAGGTTCGTGTGACTCGAATTCTCAAGTTGTACGGGTTTTTTAAGCACCGTTAAGCTTAACGAGATAGTAGTGTAGCTCGAGAGTCTCTCGGGAGGCTGGATTAGCCACAAGTTGTGGTGAACCAGGGTAAAATCGGTGTGCCTCTTTATTTTCTCTTTACTTCTTGTTTATTCATTTTTATCCCTGCGATTTCTTGATCAAATGCTATTCACCCCCGCTCTAACGTTGGTCTATTATTCTAACAATTGGTATCGGATCCTAACTCGCGTCCAAACTTAACCGTTTGAGAGTAAAGAGATCATGGGTTCTTCTTCTAGAAATCTCTATGCAGGAATTGGAGAAGGTCAATCAACTTCTAGGCCACCACTCTTTGACGGCACCAACTATTCCTATTGGAAGGAACGAATGAGAATCTATATCCGTTCCACCAACTTCCAATTATGGTTGGTCATAAAAAACGGAGAGGAAATCCCGATGAAGAAAGTTGACGATAAGTTGATTCCCAAGACCGAAGATGAGTTTGATGTCGAGGACATCAAGAAGATTGAGAATTATGCAAAGGCCATCAATATGTTATATTGTGCGGTCAACCCCGATGACTACCGGAAAATCTCCTGCTACACAACCGCCAAGGAGAAGTGGGACAAGCTTGAAGTGACGTACGAAGGTACTGATCAAGTTCGTGAAGCCAAGATCGATTTTCTCACTCAAGAGTACGAAATGTTCCGAATGAAAGAAGGTGAGAAAATCGATGACATGTTCGACCGGTTCTCAAAAATCATCAACGACCTTCATGCTCTCAAAAAGACTTACGCCAACAAGGATCTCGCGAGGAAAATCCTGCGGAGTCTCACACCCGAATGGAGGTCAAAAGCCGATGCAATCTACGAGTCCATCGGAGTCTCTAATGTCACCATCGACGGGCTAAGAGGTAACCTCAAAATTTATGAATCTACTATTCTAACCCCGTCTTTGGATGAACAAAAGAAGAAAGGAATAGCGCTCAAAGTAACCAAGGAGATCGTAGAGGAGGTTTCGAGCGATGATGACAACGAATTTGGACTTGTCATCAAGAAGTTCCACAAGTTCATGAAAAAGGAATTTGAGCGGAAGGGAAGGAAGCACGACGGTCCTCCCAAGTGCTACGGTTGTGGCGAGATTGGTCACATCAAGCCAAGGTGCCCAAAAGTGAAACACGGCTAGGATAAGCCCGGCTTCAAGAAGCAAAGGGCTTACATCTCTTGGGGTGGCGATTCCGGCGATGAATCAACCGACCAAGAAGAGGACGAAGCTGCAAATCTCTGCCTCATGGCGCACAAAGATCAAAACAACGACGTCCAAGAGGTATGTACTATTTCTTTCGACTCCTATACTTTTGAATAAATGCAAGAAGCACTTCATGAACTTTATGAGGAATTTGTTAGCGCTTCTAAAACAAATAAATCTTTGAAGAAACGTCTTTCCTCACTTGAAAATGATTTTGAAAAATTGGAAAAAGAAAATGAAATACTTAAACAAGAAAACAATATTTTTTGGAAAAAGAAGCTCTGACAAACCAGAAAGCTCATCAAGTGAATGCGGGTCTTGTAAAACTTTAAAAGAGCAAGTCGCTAAACTTGAGAGCACGGTCAAGAAATTTAATACTCCTCACAAAGACTTAAATTTACTTCTTGACACTATGAATTTTTCTAAGGAAGGAATAGGTTTTGATAAAAATAAAGCTAAAGATAATGTTGAGCCACCACCTAGACAATCATCTAAGGTTCAACATAAGAAACCTAAAAATCAAGATAATAGAAAACCTAGTCAACTTAAGGACACTAGACAATCTAGACTAAAACCTAGGAATGAAAATGGTCATGGTAGACAACCTAGGAAAAATGATTTTGTGCATAAAAACAAATTTTCTCAAATTAGAAGAAATAATGCTAGAGCACCTATAAAAGGCCAGTTTCAAAATCTTCAAAAACCATTGTTTTCACAAAATAGGAACAAAATGGTCAAACCCTCTAACTATTATGAACCTAGGCACATGTACAATCCCAATGTAGTTTGCCATTATTGTAATAGGATAGGCCATATTGCTCCCGTTTGTTACACTAGGCATAGGCACCTATCACAAAATCAAGCACACTACCATCACACACCTAACACCCGAGGACCCAACGTAAATTGGGTACCTAAAACTCATTGAAGTGTTCTCATAGGTGTGCTTGAAGGCATCAAGTGTACTTTGGTACCTTGATAGCGGATGCTCCAAGCACATGAGCGGGGATGCATCCAAGTTTCTCCAAATCAAACCCGTTAAAGGAGGAAACATAGTTTTTGGAGATAATAGCAAGGGAAAAATTATCGGCATTGGTTCGGTAGGTAAATCTGAAAACTCCTCTATAGATAATGTCTTNCTTTGCTAAGTGCCTCATGAGTAAAGAGGAAGACACTTGGTTATGGCACCGAAGGGTAGCTCATATGAACATGAACCTTTTGAACAAATTGGTTTCACAAGACTTAGTAATTGGCATTCCAAAACTTAAGTTTGAAAAAGACGCCATATGTGATGCATGTCAAAAAGGGAAGCAAGTTCGGGCTTCGTTTAAGTCTAAGAACATTGTTTCAACGTCTAGACCGCTTCAACTTTTGCACATGGATCTTTTTGGTCCTTCTAGAACGAAAAGTTTTGGTGGCAATTACTTTGCGTTTGTGCTTGTCGATGACTACTCTAGGTTTACATGGACCTTGTTTCTAACTCATAAAAGTGAGGCATTCCACGTTTTCAAAAATTTTCTAAAGAAAGTTCAAAATGAAAAAGACACAACCATAGTAGCCATAAGAAGCGACCATGGGGGAGAGTTCGAACGAAATTTGTTTTCAGATTTGTGTGACGAACTTGGCATTGATCATAACTTCTCAGCCCCACATACACCATAACAAAATGGAGTGGTGGAACGTAAAAATAGATGTCTCGAAGAGATGGCCAGAACTATGATCAATGAGGCAAAAATTCCTAAGTATTTTTGGGCGGATGCCGTGAGTACCGCGAGCTACGTGTTAAACCGAGCCGTCATTCGACCGATACTCATGAAAACGCCCTATGAATTATACAAAGGAAGAAAGCCAAACCTTTCCCATCTTCGAGTCTTTGGTTGCAAATGTTTTCATTCATAATAACGGCAAAGATAACTTGTGAAAATTTGATGCCAAGTCGGACGAAGGGATTTTTCTTGGTTATTCTCTATGTAGCAAGGCCTATAGAGTTTTTAATAAACGCACTTTGACTATTGAGGAATCCCCTCATGTTGTATTTTCCGAAGATAATGCTCGCTTGGCGAGAAAGGCTATTTGTGATGATCTTGTAAATTCACTCAAAAGATTGCACGTTGAAGACGATGAAGAAGACACGCCATTATACACCAACCCGCAACCACAACCTGAGGAAACACCTCAAGTGATGGTCGAAAATGAGGACCAAGCGGACGAAGAAGAACAAGCGGAAGCCCAGGAACAAGAGGAAACCGAGCTTCCCATCGCTTGGAGAATGCACAGGAACCATCCACTTGACCAGGTAATCGGCAGCATCAACCGCGGGGTAAGTACTCGTAATTCTCTTAGGGACACCGTAGGTCACATGGCTTTTGTTTCTCAAATTGAACCTACAACCATTTCCGAAGCAATAAACGATGAACATTGGACCTTGGCTATGCAAGAGGAGCTAAACCAATTCAAACGGAATGATGTTTGGGAATTGGTGCCAAGGCCCGATGATCGTACGATTATTGGTACGAAATGGGTGTTCCGTAACAAACTTGATGAAAATGGAATAATCACTAGAAACAAAGCTAGGCTCGTAGCTAAAGGCTACAATCAAGAAGAAGGCATTGATTTTGAAGAAACCTATGCACCCGTAGCACGTTTAGAAGCTATTCATTTACTTCTTGCTTTTGCTTCGTCTATGGATTTTAAACTTTATCAAATGGATGTTAAGAGTGCCTTCCTCAATGGTTTTATTCAAGAGGAAGTGTATGTTGACCAGCCCCCAGGGTTTGAAGACTTTGAGTTTCCCGATCATGTCTTCAAACTCAAGAAAGCGCTCTACGGTCTTAAACAAGCACCCCATGCTTGGTACGAACGTTTGAGTAAATTTCTTTTGGAAAGTGGTTTCCAAAGGGGAAAGGTAGACACCACACTTTTTATCAAGAGTAAAAACAATAACATCCTTTTGATTCAAGTTTATGTAGACGATATTATATTCGGTGCTACTAATGAGTCCTTTTGCAAGGAATTCTCAATGCTAATGACCAGCGAATTTGAAATGTCAATGATGGGCGAGCTCACATTCTTTTTGGGACTCCAAGTCAAGCAAATGAAAGATGGCACGCTTATTTGCTAAGCTAAGTATTGCAAGGAGCTCCTAAAACGATTTGAAATGGACAATGCCAAAGCCATGACGACCCCAATGAGCACGTCTGACCATCTTGACAAAGACGAGAAAGGTATGGAAGTATATGTCAAAAAGTATCGAGGTATGATCGGATCCCTTCTCTATCTTACCGCTAGTAGGCCGGATATCATGTTCAGCGTATGCCTTTGCGCAAGGTATCAATCGTGTCCGAAGGAATTGCACTTAACGGCGGTAAAACGGATCATGAAATACCTTGCCGGCACGGTTGCCTACGACATCCTCCGAGGAACGCCTCTACTACGGCGATGGGTCGTACCTCTGGTTCGATTCCGAGGAGGAGCGCACCCGCTTTCTCACTTTCTTTTCTAAACGGGTTGTGGCTCCCCCACGGATCATCCCGTAGCGCTTCCCGGAGCTGCAGGGCTACGACGACCTCGACGCGCAGCTTCATCAATCCGGCCTTTGGCCATTCGTCTCTCGGGCTCGGAAGGAGATCAACCCGGCGCTGATTCGGGTCTTCTACTCCAACCTCCGGCGTGAGGGCGACGTGCTCTACTCTCTTGACAAGAGCATGCCGATAGAACTTTCTGTTGAGCAGCTTGGGCGCATCGCCGGCCTCCCCTACCAAGGCGACAACGTCTCCCAATATGGCGGAGAGGACTAGGTGCTCAACAACGAGGGCCTTATCCTCACTGAGCTTGGCATCACCGAGCTTATCTGCCATGCCTCGGGCCGCCCCACCATCCACTCCGCAAAACTCGAGAGCCAGCTTCTTCTCTACATCGTGTCCCGAATCATCAAGCCCCGGAAGCATGGGCACACGATCATGTCCGATGAGGACCTCAAGCTCCTCCATGCGATAATGCACTCGGCGCCAATTAATTGGGCGAAGTTTGTCATGATCAACATGACGATTACCGCATCCACCGACCACGATCACCTCCTCCCGTACCCGTTCGTGGTGATGGACATCCTTGAACGGTTCAAGGTGACCACCACAGTTGGCCCACTCACGAAGACCACGAAGATTTGGGTGATCAGCACCCAGACCTTCAAGAAGCGGTCGGACAACGCCCGACCTGCCACTGCCGCGCCACGGCGTTGTTCGGCTGCTGGCCCAGGCAAACCCCAGGCCCGGGCCAACCTCGCCTCCATCGCCGACTCCCTCAACCGGCTGCACTTCAAAGTTGACGGGATGGATGGCTACCTTGAGAGGCTTGACGAGGCGATCCAATGCCAAGGGTACACCATGAAAGCGTTAACTACGTCCCCCCACCGTACCATGGCACGTTCTTTGGGCAAGTGTACGGTGACGAGGACGAAGACGATGCCTCCTACGCCCCGTCAAGCTCTCCAGACAAAGATGAGTTCGACGATGCCATCGATGGGGATGATATGGACGTCGACGACGACGAAGAAACCGGAGGCGAAGAGGAGGAAGACGAAGACTAGGCCGCCCCTAGCATTTTCTATCTCTTTTTATTGTCATTTTTTTACTCGCATCCGTTGTACTCCATTTTAATAAATAAAAGGTATATTTAATCTTTTTGTTAATGTCAAAAGGGGGAAGAAAAGGGCTATGCATATACTAAGGGGGAACGTCTCTAAAAATGGGATCGTTTGATTTTAATATGACAATTTTTTTAGGCACAAATTAAGGGGAAATTTTTTTCATACTTTTCAAAGTCAAATATCCCTTAATTTGCATATCCCTGTCTTGTTTGCCATTATCAAAAATGGGGAAATTGTTGGAACACGGGTTTACGCCTATGTCGTACTAAACCGTGTTCGTTTTATGACAGGTTTTGATAATGCCAAACCGCCGTGACACAACAAGGCTAAAGTGAGCAAAAAACAAGGTGAAGAAACATGGCATGATGACATGAGAACCAAGAACCAAGAATCAAGAAAAAAGAATTAGGGCATTGAGTCGGTCCTAATGTAAATTCAAAAATGTTTTTCATAAGTTTTAAACATAGCTAAAAAAACTTGGAGTTCGCCCAAACCAAAAACCAAGTCATCCGGCGTTCGGCTTTCAGGAACCAGCGTTGAGCTTTTGGTTTTCGGCATTGGTTTTTGGCATCCGAACAAACCAAGTGGTTTTCACCTTTTCATGATTGGTTTTTACTTCTGGGCATATTTAAATAGTTCTCCAACAAAAACACTTTGAAAACCACCTTTAGTTTTTGGTCGTTCAGTGAAAACCATGCGAAACGGCGTAAACTTGGCTAGCCGTGGTTTTCAACTAAATGATGTGGTCTTCAAAATGTTCTACTTGATTTCTTAGCAAAATGCATTAAACAAACATTTTCAATACTCGGTTTTAATTTTGGAGAACTTACTTTTTTGACATCGGCTAACGGCTGACTAAACCAACCATGGTTCTGGCTAAACCAGCCCAACAGCAATGTTGGTGCTACCAACAGCGCTGTCTGGCTTGAGTAGCTGAAAACCATGGTTTGGCGTTAAGTCTTCCAACAGCGATGTTGCATATTAGACATCGCTATTGAGCCAAGGTTAGGAATCTAGAAACATTTGGAACAGCGATGTAGCCTTCCCTACAGCGCTGTCCAACCTAAGCCAAAAATATAGTGCATTGGCAGAAAGATTTTGGACAGCGATGTTGACCTAGCAACAGCGCTGTCAGGCCAAAAACTCCACCTTCAAAGTCAGACCTAAACAGCGATGTTCAAGTATTGAACATCGATGAACATCGATGTAGGGACCTGACCGTTGGAAGGAATTTAAGGCTAAAAACTTTCCTTATTTGGAAGTCAACAGCCAAAACAGCGATGTAGGAGTATTGGACATCGCTGTTGGCATGACCGTTTCTTCCCAATTTTCAAAACGCTAGCCTAGAACAGCGATGTCCAAGCCTAGGACAGCGCTTTCTGGGTGAATTTCAGCAGATCCAAATTTAATCAAATCCCATAAATTGTGCCAATCACCCCTTTAAATGTTTTGATCCGTTGGAGCCTATTTTTCGACTATAAAATGGGGTGTTTGGGTCTATTTTACAAATCACATTACTTCACAATCTCTACTCCTTCATTGCAAATCATTCATCCTTTATTCATAGCTTTTTGAGAAGCCATTTTTGTGAAGCTTGTGTTGTGTTCTTGAGCGTTCTTAGTTACTCAATTATCCACTCTAAAAGAGAGTATTGTTCTTGAGTGTTTTTAGTGTTCTTAGACACTTGACAAGAGAAAGTATTTCTCTTGTTGTTCGAAGAAAGGATTGTTTCCTTTGAAGGTTCGTTGAGGTTCGTGTGACTCGAATTCTCAAGTTGTACGGGTTTGTTAAGCACCGTTAAGCTTAACGAGATAGTAGTGTAGCTCGAGAGAGTCTCTCGGGAGGCTGGATTAGCCACAAGTTGTGGTGAACCAGGGTAAAATCGGCGTGCCTCTTTATTTTCTCTTTACTTCTTGTTTATTCATTTTTATTCCTGCGATTTCTTGATCAAACGCTATTCACCCCCCCCTCTAACGTTGGTCTATTATTCTAACATTTATGTATATATGAATTGTAATGCTTTAAAACTATTAAATTGTTGTAATAATTATAAGTTTAATTTAAATCAAATTTAAATTCATTTACACCAGATCTAATCAAATAATATAAGATCCAATTAGATGAGATCAGATTAGACCTAATCACATCAGATCAGATTCAATCAGATCATATCAGACCTAATCAGATCACATAAGTTTAGAACTTCAAAAATTCAGATGAAATTCAATCAGATCAGGCGTACGGAATAGAGCCTTACTTGATAAAGTGTTTGCATTTGGTTTGATAATGGTACTAATAATACTGTTTCCATTCCTAGATTTAAAGAACTTGGCTCCCCTAGCACCAACATGAGTAGATTTCTATACTAAAGGTGTGTCAGTCATGTTTTAAATTTGTGTATTGAACATGAATCATAAGCTATTGGAGGAATTTTGTGCAACGCCTCAAAATATACCCTAGAATTTAATAACGAATTTTAAATAAATTTTAATTTTAATTTTTGTTTAAATTAAAAATAAACAAAAACGTCAATGCAAAAAATAAATGATCAATTTTTAAAGTTAACTTTTTAATGGAAAATTTTTACTCGAATTGAAGATCTTGACGAGATGAGTTCAGCAGTGTATTCTGCGTGCAAACCTTAGTTACGAAAGTTAGGGATGTGACCCTCTCAAGACCAAAGATATAATAAAATGAAAAGAATAAAATACAATACCATAGAGTCAATATTTTATATCTAATTTTGGAGTTTTGTATGTCTTGTGAAAATATGACCAACGGCATATTGTTTACCAACTTTGGAAAAATATTCCTGATGGTATCATGATAACCGGGTGGTCTGTGTTATTTCGAGAAATGGCTTGTATATGCTTCCCGCCCCTGATGGTACCCATAGAGCCGGTGTTGGAATGCATGAGCTCAACCCTTTCTGTGTTGTTAAGTGTTGACTCACAGGTTTTGATAATTGACAAACACAACTTATTCAAGTCAAGATCAAAGTGCTACAACGACAAACACGAAGACTTGAGGTACCATTCCTTGAAGTATTCAAGAAGGTGCACAGGATTTTATTAGAGTTCGAGTCGCATTCGTGCGCCTAACGGAGGACTCGGAGGAGTAGAAGATTTCCGAAGACTTTTTATTTATTTGAGTCGTAGGAATAATTGTAAGGGTGACAAAAATATCTTCTCTCCAAAATTATTTTTATGAGAGTTAAAATAAAAATTATATTTATTTTTGGAGTCAATTGAAAAATCTTTTTAACTGTTCAAAATAGATTTATTGAGTCAGTTACAAAAAGTGTGTCAAACATTTATCAAAATATTTATTTTGATATTATAAAATATTTTTGGTAAGCAAAATTATTTTATTCAAATATTTTTCGTGTATTTTGTTAGACACACAAAATATTTTTGGGACTCAATTTCTACACTCCAAATATCCTTCATTTGTTCAAAATTTATTTTTGAATTATGTTTGAGGTGATGGGGAGCCTTACCCCTGATATTCTTGTTGGAAACAATCACATAAACTCCATTTTGTCCTTCACCTCTCCCACATGCTTGTGTTCTTCGTGTCTGGGCATTATTGTTGCAATAATCGATTTTACCTCTAGAATTAATCGATTATCGCGTCCAGAAGGAACTAATCGATTAACACCTTTGGCTTTAATCGATTATCACTTTTTGCGCAGAAGGATTTTAGCTCTGGTGAAATTAATCGATTTTTTCACTTGCATTAATCGATTTTTATGATGCATTAATCGATTATGGTGATGCATTAATCGATTATTTTGCTGCATCTTTTCTGCACAGCTTGTTTTCTTGGACCAACGGATATATTCCTTCACCTCCTATTTAAACACACTTCCTTAGTCATCTTTACCATGAACAAGCACTCCTAAACTCCCCCAATCTTGAGGTTATAATCCTCCATTCATTTCTTCCTCAAATTGATATATTTTGAGAGAAAACTAAGTGTTTTCAAGAGAGTGTTCTTGTCACCCATAGAGTTTTAATCATTTCTCATTTCTACTCTTTTGAGAGCTATTGTTGAGAGGTTGAAGAAGATTTTTCTTCTTGTTGTTCAAGACTTATATGACTTAAATCTTGGTTGTGAAGTCTTGTAGAGTGCATATCTACAAGCGGTTGTGTCGAGGCTTGTGGGATTCAAGTTCTCGAGTTGTAAACGGTTTGTTAAGCACTCGTAAGCTTAACAGAAGTAGTGGTAGCTTCGAGAGAGTCTCTCGGGGAACTGGACTAGCCACGAGGTGGTGAACCAGTATACATCGGTGTGTTCTTTGCATTCTCTCTTTTATTTCCGCTGCACTTACGATTATATTATTAATCCTGCGAAAATCGGTAATCATTCTCAACAACTCTATTCACCCCCCCCCCCCTCTAGAGTTGCACGCCTTGTCTAACAGCCGGGAATCGGAGGACTCCTTGATGGGTAATAACCCATTAATTCCACCCGGTAGGTTCGTACCGACCGGGAGGTATGAAATCCAGTGCCCTGTGACTTGGTCAACTCGAGCTATCTGACCGGTCAGGGGTGGGAAGATTCAGAATCACAGACATGGCTTCATCTGACAAAGGCATGCATGCTCACCGGTTGGAGACTCACCGGCCTGAAAAGCAGAGACGTGCTTGGCGTGCTTAGTCATTATTATAAATAAGACTAAAAACCTCATTTGTGAGACATGTTCTAATTAACCTACACGGCTTGTACTTTGTAAACAGTCCTACTGTCATTACTAACAAACCGAGTTACAGATGTTTTCACCTACAGCCCTACCGTTTATCTGAACTTAATATTTGAACGGTATTGTTGGGAATTTGATTAATTATTCAAAAGAAAGAAAAATAAGAAAAAGAAATTAAAAAAAAAAGAAAAAGAAAAGTGACATGCACTTGGACGTACAACATGCATGTGAAGAGTTGTTTTTGGTCTTTGTTTCTATCTCTTTGGATTGGTGCAAATCAACAAATGGATTGCACCTTCTAGGCAATTACAGATGCATCTACGGGTGAGTCCAAGTTTTGTAAGGCTTTGGGTTGCTTTAAAAAGAGTGAGACTAAGGTAGACATGTGTGTGTGGGTTTTACACACCACCAAGGTAGAGAGAGAGAAACATGAGAGGAATTCTACACAAGAATACCACCGGGAAAATCCAAGGGGTCTTGGTGAGCGTGGGTGAGTGTAGGGAGTAACTAGTTTTAGTTACTCGGAAAAATACATCCGGGCATAGAATGTAGAAATATCTATTTATGAGTGTCTGAAATTTAAACTTGTAAACAGGGAATAATTTTTTGTATATTATCCTGAAATAGTGGAAATATAATTTTTTCTCTCATATATTCTTCTTGTGTTTGTTCTCTCATTTTTATGGTGTTCTCAATATTTTCTGGTATCTTACGCGCTTAAAATCCCAACAGGTATTTACACCATCTCTAACATTTTGTGTCAATGTAAATTATAGCACTAGCATTACATTAACACAAAATGTTGTGCATGTCTTCGGGTCATAAAATATGGTACTCCCTCCGTCCTATAATGATCTTCCCGGTTCGCAAAACGAAGAAAAATCCCAAGTTTTTTCAATCTATTTTATTTAAATATTGGTATAGAAATAAAAAATAAAACATACATATTTAAAAACTACACCAAAAGTTCAACAAAACAAGTAGTGACAAGAATATTTTATTTCATCATATAGACCATGAAAAAACACAAATAAATATAAATTCCCATGAAATTGAAATAGTGCTATGGGAAGATCATTATAGGATGGAGGGACTACAATTTTGTGGTACAAATACCGGAGTAGCTTAATTGGAGGACAAATTATGAGTGGAGCCATTGCTCAGCCTAGATACACGACTCTCACGGGCGAGAATAAATACAGTACTCAGTACAGTGTGCGGGGAGTACCACTTCATAAATTACTGCCTCGCCTTTTCACATGTTCAATCCACACCCTCCCCCCACCCCCACCCCCACCCCCACCCCACCCCATATGGAGAGAAAGAGAAGAGAAGTGAAAAGAAGAGATGAGAAGAGAAGAGAAGCTTCATCACAATTAAAAAGGACATTCAAAGTGAGCACTTCGATTCATAATTGTTTCTNCCCCACTCCCAAATTTATTCTCTATTTTTATAATAAAAAAAATGATAAAGTTATTTGTACTCCAAAAATGTTGTACTCCATTTATACACCGCAGATGTGCACTAACATTTTGTATTGGTGTAATGCTACTTTTTGTTAATGCACCAACACTTTGTGTCAGTGTAAATTTTTGTTAACGCACCAACATTTTGTGTCAGTGTGAACCTTTTGTATTTGTGTAATGCTACTTTTTGTTAATGCGCCAACACTTTGCGTCAGTGTAAATTTTTGTTAACGCACCAACATTTTGTGTCAGTGTGAACCATCAAAATGTTGATGTATACCTTTGGTGTAAGTATGAGATACTCCCTCCGTCCTATAATGATCTTCCCAGAGCACTATTCCAACTTCACGGGAATTTATATTTATTTGTGTTTTTTCATGGCCTATATGATAAAATAAAATATTATTGTCACCACTTATTTTGTTGAACTTTTGATGTAGTTTTTAAATATGTATGTTTTATTTTTTATTTCTATACCAATATTTAAATAAAATAGATTGAAAAAACTTAAGATTTTTCTTCGTTTTGCGAACCGGAAAGATCATTATAGGACGGAGGGAGTACAAATTTTGGTGTAAGTGTAGCATGATTCTAAAAATATTACAAAAAGCATCTATTTAGTACAGTACTTCAGTAGTAGGAAGTTGTAAAGTGACTCTCCAGTCTCCCCCTCTCTCCCACAAAATTTACCCCACTTTGATTATAACGGAATTAAAAAAAAGGTAAAAAATTGTGGAGTAAAAGGTACATGCTTGAATTTATGGAGAGAAGAAAAAAATTTCTTAAACCACATTCTTTTAATCTTTTCTTTAAAAAGAATGTTACTTTGTACATTTTTTCTAAATGGGCAAAAAAAATAAATTGCATCCTTACTGCTCGGGTGGGGCTCGGCCTCTGAACCGTACGTGGAACGAGTTTTTGCCTCATACAGCTCGGGCCAAGTACCGGGGGAAGATCGGGAAACCTAGCAGCTGCCGGTCGGGGCATTCTCACCAAACAAATGTTGTAACTAAGAAAGAGCGCCACTTAGCTGTTCTTGTTCAATGTTTGTAATATCAATAGAGTGGAGTAAAATTTCTAAGTCACCCCAGGGATGATCCTAGCTTAACTCAAATACACTACTTAGTAAGAACCTCTTTAGGAATAACAATATTCCCAAACAGGCCCTAAGTTATGATTATTTGCCCAAGTCTTTGTATTATTAATATCACCAGAGTTCTATTGATCCAAGTAATTTGATTTTAAAATCACCGGGGAGGGATACTTGTGGTACTCCATTGGTAAAATAAACGGTTACTACCCTCTCCCCAATCGGTGTTCTAGGCGGACAGAGGTATTTTGGAATGATTGAGAGAGATATTTTGGAAGGATTGACAGGATATGAAACATTAATTTTACCAAGAGGGCATTGTAACTAAGTGTCCCAAAATATCTGGGGTTGCTCCCAGGACATTTTTGGCTTGGGTAAAAAGAATAAATACGAAGTACTTGGGTAATTATAGTTTGGGCAGTATCATTGGTTACCGCAAACTTCACGTGAACATGTGGACTCTGTCTAGGCTGAGGACAGGAGACTGGTCGGTCTTCCCACTGATTCCATTTCTGAACTTATTTACATCTTCGGTCCTCGCTCCAAAAAATAAAAATAAAAAGGGTACGCAAATACTCGATATTATTCCCATTGCAGAATTATGAAGAAATGTTAATACGCTGTTACAAGAAAATGAAAATCCTACATAGTTTATGTCTGTCATGATAAATGACGACACGACTAATATGCTTCCACAAATGGATGGTTAGTGTGTGTGTGTTTGTGTTGTGTGTAATTTTATCAGCCCTGTTACTTTACAGATGATTAATAAATCACACATTTCTAGTCTCCTTCTACACTAACTTTTTGGTCTATAACTCAAATGAGAGCTTGAGCCACACACCACTTCCCCTTTCCTTTGGTTTCTTCACTCTGCTGCGGGCTGCTTCCTCGGCTTATTATTGGTTCACTCTCACCCAGTCATATCGCCCCGGCAGTGGCACATCACTCACAACATCAAAGTTGTACCTGTAGAGAACAAGAAGAAGAAGAGGAAGAGTGTCGAATGCGACAATGGGAAATCAATGCCGATTAGAACTTCAACAATAAACTTTCTAACTAATCTTGAAATGTTTGCACTATGTTTGGTTTAAGTAATTCGAAAAGGAAAAGAAAAGAAAACATTTTTTCTTGTTTGGTAAGAGAGGAAAAGTGGAAAAGGCAAAATGTACCAAGAGGTACAAAAACCAAATTCCTTCCATTTTGATGAGGAAATGAGAGAAAAGCATTTTACTTTACCCTTCAAATTTGTTGAACCAAACATAGTGTTAATTAGAAAGAAGGGGGGAAACATACTTGTCGGCAAAATGGCACTGTTGCTGCTGCTCTGTGTAAGCAAAGAACTCATCAATTTCGGCCGCTGAAGGCATGTTCCTCTGACGGGAACTTCTCGCCCTTTGAGATGTGGTGTTTGGGTTGCTCTGTCTTGTTGTTGAGCTGGGTGGTGTCTTGATTATGTCTGCCTCCCTAATTAAGCTACAGGGTGTGCTTTCTCTAGTGCTCCTTTATTATACACAAAAAGGCATATCTTAGTCAACCATCACCATCTCCTTATATCATTATTATAATAATTATGATAATACTCCGTAATAATAATAAAAACAATAGTAATCAAAGATCTGAAAAAGCAAATGTGCGTAAGAGATTAACACAGCCATGTGATCTAACCAAAGCTAACTGTTGTCACATTTGATTTCTTTTGCAATAATAAATACTCCACCCCTCCATAAATAAACTTCACCATCACTGTTCATTTTTCACATAATCAAACTATATCATCTTCTTACTTATTTATTTTAATCATTTGTTATAATAAAATAGTCTTGTTCTCATTTGTTTTATAAAACGTTTGATGTAATTCCTAAATGTGTAAATTTAAATTTTAAATTTACAGAGACATTTAAATAAACTAAATTAAAAATAATTACACTCATAGTTAGAACAAATCTGAAGTTAATTGAGGGAGTACAAAGTAACATGTCATATGGAACATGAAGAAATAACGGTTTCATGTCACGTCATCACTTCTGCTTTATACAGGTACTCATCACTGGGTAAAAGAACAGTAGGGATGAATGTTTCTCAAGATGTTAGAAAATACGGAATGGGATATTCACAGTTTTTTGGGTAGTATGACCCCATGGAAAGGACACATTACAGAAAATACAAAAGAACAAAAAAAGAGCCAATATTCCCATAAATCTAGAATTTGTTCTTAGGTATACAGCAAAAAATACCCTTCACAATGAATTAAAACCCATCAAATCTTCAAAACATATACAGAATATACTCTTAATCATTTTTCATAGATATAAATGAGCTAATAACAAAAAAAGGTCTGACCCTATGCTGTTTTTAATGAATAAGTACAACTACAGAAGCTCGTGAATCACCTGAGCAGTGAAAGGATGATACTCAAGGACAGATTAAAGAAAAAAAAATTGTATTGGTGCCCATTAAATATTTTTCAATTGAAAACAAAACAAAAACAACTCTTTTTTAATACTCTTTCCGTAGGGTAGGGGACCAGATGAAAAGATTGATTTTCTACAAAAGATGCCGTGAATAAAATAATACAGTAGAGGAAAAAAATGTGCAGGTATGGAAAGCATTAAAAGAAACGCCTTAAAAAATGATCTGGGGATGAGTGAAAAAAAAAAGAAAGTAGTAAATCATTAATGCCATTCTTTCTAGAAATCTAGTAAAATTTGGGTGCCTGAGAATGCAAGTTAGCTTACCTCGGCCGTTAAAAGTCCCATCGAATGGATCTTTCAAACAAAAAAAGAAACTTTACAGAGAAGCCAAAACCACAAATTTTCAATTTAACTTTTAAAATCATACTCCGTGGAGTAATAATAAGAAAAAGATGCACATAAGAAAACTAATCATAATCTATCACTACTCCGTACCAATTACCATATCTACTTTCCACAATCAGACCTTTTTAAAGTTTATTTAACAGATGAGTTAGCACCCAAAAGGATAAGGAAATTAGAAGTTAATTTAAGAGCAGAAATGCACAAATTAATACTCGTAGAAACTAAACAGAGGAAAATAATAGAACTGGGTCTTGCCTGTCTCTTGCTTCTGGATCCAAATTGTTCTCCCCGAAGGAGGCATCGACGCCCAAATCTTCGCAGCCTTTGGAGAGAATCTCAAAACAGCCTTCCCCGGCATCGTGATTGCTAATTGAGGCGGAGCCGACGGAGCTGGAGTGGACAGAACTAACCCTAAACCTCGAGCTGGACTCGAGATTCAATTTCCGGCAAGTCGCCGAATCTGTCCCTTTCTGGCAGTTCCGCTTCGCGGTTCCACCTGAAGGCTTCCTGCGCTCTTCGAGCAGAGTCGGGTGCTTCTCCAGCCTCCGGGAGCGCAGCTGGAGGTAACATGACTCGGAGTCGGGCGAAGGCTGCGAGGATTGGAGGCGCCGGAGAGCTAGGGTTTTGGCTCGGGTCCGGACGCCGAGAAGGGACTGGGGGAGCTCCATAACCGCAACGTCCGCAGCGATTTTGGCCTTCTCCATGTACTTTCCCATCGCTTGCTCTGGTCTCAGGGGAACGGTAGAGTGAATTTGAAATTGGACGGAAGCGCTCAAGCGAATTTGGGAAAGAAGGAGAGAGAGAGAGAGAGAGAGAGAGAAAGGGAGAGGGAGGGGGTCAGCGGATTATAAGGAGGGAAAGCAGAGGTGGTGGGTGTGGAAGGGTGCTTTTAATTTTTGGAGGCGAGGAAAGGGAGAACTAGGGTTAGCAAGTAGGGACTCTTTTATTTGTTCTAAAATGTTTGTGGCATTATACAAAAATGAAATTAAATTTTAAATTTAGTTTATTTAAATATTCATTTAAAAATAAAAAATAATACTCACATATTTAAAAAAAAAAAACTATGTGAAAGTTTTACAGAATGAGTATCACAAAAATATTTTATTTACCAAATAGCCAATAAAAATGTATAAATCAACAAAAAAATCGTAAATTTTGAATATTTAACTCTTACAGTCTTTTTGAAACTAATGAAATATACAACCCTGAGTTTTACATTCGTTTGTGGTCCTTGTCTTTGCTTTTACTCTACTTCCCTCATCTAAGTTTATTTTACATCTACTCTCTTCGTCTTCTTTAGATAATTCTATTACGCGTTACAAAGTGTGACCAAATACATTTTTAATTCAAGAAATTTATTTTAGATATAAATTTAAAAAATAAAATTTATATAATATCCCCTCCGTCCCTAAATCATTTACCTATTACGGAAAACAAAATAAAATTTCAAGTTTTTTCAATTCTTTTTATATAAGATTGGTATCTAAATATAAAAATAAAATTCATACATCTAAATAGTACATCAAAAGCTCAACAAAATAAAAGGTAACAATAATATTTTATTTCATCAAATAGTCAATGAAAACACACAAATAAACCAAAATCTCCGTGATTTTTGAATAATAAAATATGCAAATCATTTCAGGACGGAGGGAGTAAAACAATATATGAAAAATTCTATAAAATAAGAAGAGACAAGAGTATATATATATTATTTTATGAAATGAGCAGGAAGTATTTGATTTAAATTAAAATCAAATCATTTTTACATGAAAAAACGTGTGAAATAAAAAGTTAAAAGTTAACTTGTTTAAAAACAACTCCCTCTATCCCACAATATTTATCATTGTTACTATTACAGTCTCTCGAATAAAATAAAATATTTTTTAGCATCTTGTTATGTACTCTCTCCGTTCTCCATAGATCTTTCCAATAGCCCTTTTTCTTTGTCCACAATATATCTTCTCATTTCATTTTTTAACAATTGACATAACACAACTATCCTCACTTTCTTTATTTATTACACCTCACTCATCTCATTTAATACACTCCACCTATTTTTCATTAAGGGTATTATGGTAAACTTTCAGCTTTTTTCAACTCTCCTCAAAACTACCAAAAGTCAAAATGAGAACATCTTAGGGGGACGGAGGGAGTATAACTTTTGATGTAATTTTGAATAGTTTAATTTGAAGTTTTATTTTTATACCAATTTGTAATTTAAATGATTTTCAAAGGTGGTGATATTTTTCACATTGTTCAAAGAGTGACAAGCATTACGGGGCAAAGAGAGTTAAGTGTGCAAACAAATGTTAATCAGAACGAATGCTTATTTTATCGAATATCGAACTCAGATACGGATCTCGACGGATGCTAAAAATAAAACTGTATCCGCATCCGCTGGATATCGAATATATCTATATCCATTTCGATATGTTAAAAGTCAAATTGAACTATATAGTATATAAATACATTTAATATATTTATTCAATTGTAATTTGTGACAGAGTAGTATTTTTCATATTTTTTTAAACTATGTTAGTTTACGAAAACTCCATATGACAAAATGAGTATTACACACTACACATACATACTTATTTCTGTGTCTACACTTATATTTTAGATATAACGATATGTGAAATTTACACTAAATAGTACTAAAACGTATGTCATTTCCCAATGTAGTACTTACAATTTTTTATTTTCTAAATAATACTTGGATAATGTCTAGTGGCGGGAACAATGTTCAGTAATGGTGGACATTTAGTTTGAACAATGTCCAGTGGCGGTAGACATTTATTTGAACAATGACCTGTGGTACTACATTGAAATAAAAAAACATATGGTACTACATTGGGAAAGCTGCGATGTTTTAGTACTATTTAGATAAATTCCCCTAACGATATCTTATACTTTAAGATGTTAATAGAAAAACAAAATATAAAAATAAAAATTTTAATTTGAAAAAGCTATATATATAACATATTGAATATGTGGATAAACGCTTACTCAAACAGATGTATATGTGGAGAAGATTATAAACGAGTCGGATGTATGATAACCAAATCTGTATCTATTTACCAATCGAACGTCCTTGATCAGATACAGCTAATAATCGCTTTAAATGGATGCGGTATTTTTCATGTAAACTTTTGAAGGAAAATAACTAATCAAATGCATGTCTTTGATAGGATACAAATAATAACCGCTTTATCTGCTTACCAAATGCTTTGTTGGTCTATATAAGTTTTATTTTTTATTTATATACAAAGTTGTAAATAAATTCATTTTAAAAATTATAGCATTTTTTCATATCGTTCAAATAAAGAATATGATATTCCTTATCATTTTGGTAAATTCATGAAGTATTTTTCCACTTCTTTCCACCCATTGGAGGATGTACTCCGCATTACACAAAGTACATACATTTAGGGCATTTTAATGGGAGGACTCTCCCCAAGCCCCACCTCAATCTCCCCAAGCCCCACCTCAATCCTCTTAATTGTGATGTCATTACTTATCTCATTTTTTGTGTGAGGTTAGAACTGTAACGCCCCAAAACATACCCTAGAATTATTAATGAATAAATAATTAATTAATCAAATTTGTTTTGATTAAAATAAATTATTGTTGGGCTTTGGGCCGATATGAAATGTGTTTTGACATCCAATATCAAAATCTGGATAAGTCTCATAGAGATAAATCTAATATATGGACTATTTGTGTGGTCTTGATTGGGAACCTAAGTACAGACTCAAATCAAGAGTAAAGAAAGAATTTGTTTAGAATGTAAATATTGAAATGATTTGTTAAAATAAATCTTGAGAATAATTGATATGAATTAAATGAGAAAACCTTTTATGAGAAAGGTCAATTAAACCAATTTTGACTCTGTCAAAATCAAACACCCAAAAATATGATGTCAGGAAAAGTATTACAAATAAATATACAAATGATATAGTTGGATAGAGTATAACTGCCCGATCGCAATGGTGCAAACGGAATTCAATTTGGAGAAAGTTGAACCACAAAGTGTACCCCGACTGGAACCAAAATTGGTCCCAATCAGGGAACGTCATGTAAATCTCAGGGAATCGCTGTCCTGCGCACTAAGGAAATTCTAAGCATCACTGACTCAGCTCAGCTTGGCAGCTTCCTTCTCCACACTAGTATAAAAGGATGTTTTCATCTCTCTCAATTCTACACAAAAATTTCTTGAAAAATTATCCCATAAGAATCTTGAGAGTGAGGAGAGCAGTCTGGGGTTGTTGGTTGCCGCCGAAATCGCAGGAGTTAGGAGTAATCGTCGCCGGAAGTTTCGCTGGAAAATTCTCAAAATCTTCGATAAGCTTCGAGTTAAGCCCGTAGATATATCTAGTGACTAGAATGTTCGTATAGATCGTTTCTACGTTCATAAACGGTCATTTGGTTGAGTTTTATGTTTGACATGTTTGAAGAACTAAAAATCTTAAACCTTGAATTTGATGTTAAAACTACGAATTAATGAGTCTAAAATTATTTCTGAACATTGGAGAACATTTTTATATAATTTAACTGAAGTTTGGTGATTAAAAATGATAATGTTAAAACTGACCAGAGGAAGAAGATGATGGACAGTGGCCGAAAATCAATTAATTACTTGCTAAAAATCGATTAGAATTTTATTCAGATCAGTGGTTCGAAGTCAGTACCATTTAATCGATTATTTATATTGTAAACATCGATTATTATTAATTAATTGATTATTTATATTGTAAAAATCGATTATTATGAATTAACTGATTATTTAAATTATAAAAATCGATTATTATGAATTAATGGATTATTTAAATTGTAAAAATCAATTTTTAATGAATTAATTGATTATCTAAATTGTAAAAATCGATTTTTAGGGATTAATTGATTATTTATATTGTAAAAATTGATTATTATTAATTAATTGATTATTTAAATTGTAAAAATCGATTATTATGAATTAATCGATTATTTAAATTGTAAAAATTGATTATTATGAATTAATTGATTATTTTAAATTATTTTCCTCAAATCCAAACGAAAATGTTCTTGAAAATATGTTCTAAAATCCTATTTTTGATACCAATTAATTATGCACAATATAAATATGATTTTGTATAATAAAAATGATGTTTTTGGTATATAAAACATTATGTGATGCATGACGGTAAGTTAGGGTGTTAACACTCAAAACTAGACCACTATTTGTTATCAATTGTTATGTTGATTAATGATTATGATGAATGATTATTATGGATGATCATGAATAATGAACTAACTGATCAAAATGATTATTGATGATTGAGCCATGAGAGTAATGAATATATTGATAATTATTAAACGATTTGTATTTTTAAACGGTATCTAGAAAAACTCTAAGATATACATATTAGTTAATTAATGTTAAGGCTATCTAGAAGACATCTAGAATATATCTTGTATTAGAACAGGCTTATGAAAACATGAACATTTGATAAATTAGATAAAAACGCATAAATGGGATTCATAGACCAAACTAGAGGATCACTCGTTTGGGAATGCCCCGATCCAACATTGATCAATCGCTAAATTGTTGTTGCCTTAACTGACTACAGTTAAGTGTCCGAAATCATTTGCCTTAAACTAATGATAATTTAAGTATCTGATTATTAATTGCCTTAACTGCCTACATGCTATAGTTAAGTGTCCGAAATCAATTGCCTTAAACTAATGATAGTTTAAGTGTCTGATCAATAATTGCCTTAAAAGAATTTGGTTATGGAAGTAATGATTTGGCCTTAGACTAAGAATAGCTAAGAGCATTATTATGATCTGGCCTTAGACTAAGAATAGCTAAGAGCATTATTATGATCTGGCCTTAGACTAAGAATAGCTAAGAGCGTTGT